GAAATAAGTATCAATAAGGTCAAATTGTTCTAATAATTAGAGTAAAAAGGAATCAAATAGAGTCAGATTTTAGATGTTTCTGTTTTCCACATCTGTAGGAACTAGTGCAGATGTGTTTATAGAGAGTAGTATTAAAATGCAGACATAGAACGACAGGCTTTAACAAAATTTTAAATCTAAAAATAGCTCAAATATAACATTGCTTTTGACGCAGTCTCTGAGCTGCTCCATTGGAGAACAGGTCAAATGTTATTGTTTATTACAAACAGCTGATGTATTTACACATATTAAAGTTTGGGACAACTCTTTAAACAGTTATAAGCAGTGGACAGAAGCCATGAATGTGCTTTTGTTTATTGAATAATTAATTTCATAGCCATATAATCGTAGAGAACGGTTTTAAAATAGTTCTCTTCCTCCCGCTCCCTTTCAGGAAAATTGAATAGATTCATGTCTTTAATATTGGAGAACGACTGTGTTGTTTTTGGAATTGTCTGAGATACAATACATAAAATAGTGATTTGCAGAACAAGAACCAGCCAATGAAAAATCGTCTATTGCCAATGCAATTGTTACAATCAGAACTCACAAATTGGGAATATGCTTTGGCTCAAACTACAACCAAGATTTGGAGTCACAATAGAGTATAAAATAGATAGATGCTTTCAAAAATAGAGATTATTTTTAGACAGGGCTAATATCAAGCGGTAAAAGGACCATTTCCTTCATAATATGTCCAAAAGTATTTACTTCAAAAGTAGATAAAGTTCATACTTGTCAAATTCACTTGTTTCAAACATAGGTGAATGTTGACAATGCAAAAAGTTAATGAGATAGATTAGAACCAACACAGATTCAAAAACATTTGAAAGCAATTTAATGTATTTGGGTATAGCACAAAAGTAGATCTTTAGGTATTTTTGAGAATTTTAAGAGCTGTCGATTTGTCAGCAACAGATTAGAGAATCAAAATACCGTTGTATAGGGACTGACCCCAGAGAAACCTGCTAAAATAGATTAGCTCCTGTAAGGATAATACCAATTTGATTAACGATGTACATTTATCCCAAACGGTCTGAGAGGAGGAAGTGACAGCACTTCCTGGTTCAACAAAATGTATTTGGAAAAATGAGCAAAGCCCCACGAAATGGCCCAAAGCCACTGATAATGAAAGCAAACCACAGTATAGACAGATTTATTAGATAAAAACATATGTTTAAGAATAGGGCTCAATAAAAGCAAAATATGCAAACATATTTGTAAATAGATTAGAATAGTTTAAACTATAGTGAATAGTTTTAGTGCATACATTACAGAGGAGGTTGATGAAGAATCAGAATGACAGCAGTGGTCATCAAATAGTATTGAAGGAATGGTAAAAATGTGGTTTGTTGTGTGTTGTTTGCTTTCTCTGTTTTAACTCTTCACAGATATCAAGCCGGAACTAAGCACAAGTATTGATGATAAACGACGATGTGGATTGTGACCTAATTTTTAATCAGGTCAAAAGAGGGAAACTGTTGTATTTATAAATACGTGACATTCTAAAACCATGTGTTTTATGACCTAACGACCTCTAAGTGGGAGGCCAGTCCTTCTTATTTTATTTTAGGTGTCTTCTTGTGCCAGCAACTGGACAACAGATGGATTCTGCTGTTTGGATTTCACCCCCCTAGTCTTGGCCTGCTGACTTCTGCACTTTTCAACCTCACTCCATCAGGAGTCTGGCAGACGGAGGAAAAGGCTGGACCCTAGACCGGAAGCTGGCTGATAGGACACTCCCCTCCTTCCTGTTCTTTTTATAGGCTCTGGCTTGGGGAGACACAGAAGGATCAGCCGAGGGCCAGAGAGAGGGACATATATAGTTTTAGGAGCACTCTTTGTTGGAATTTCTGTATCTGATTGTAAAGATAAATTAAATACAGATGTTAAACTTGGAGATCTCTTGTCTTACTCTTGCATCGACTTTGAACACGTCAGTCAAAGGGAATTATTGACTTCACAGCCAAAGTCAAGCCGCAGCCAACTTTAATAAGACAGTCCTGCATTGAAAACATAAGAGGAAGAGTCACAAATAGGTCATGTATGGGTAAGATAAAAATGAAGAAATGTCAGTGTTGCATCACCAGTTACAGAACAGTAGGAATTTATTTTATTTATTTATTGTTTATTTGGTTGGGATAGTACATATTAATGAACACATCACTCCGGATTGTAGCCAAGGGATAATTTGCATCCGTTCTCCCACATTCACACTCACAAACACACACTCATTCACGCTGAACCATTGCACATGTTTTTAGTTGTCGGGGAAACTGGAGTACCCAGAGGAAACCTACGCAGAGATGGGGAGAACATGCAAACTCCACTCAGAAAGGCTCCGTTCTATCCACTCAGCCACAGTGCCGCCCGAATGAGGATCATAAGATAAATGAACAATAATTCCATACTAAAATAAAATAAAATCATAATAAAAGCATAATAAAAGAAGTAAGTATAAAATCTCTGACTTTAGCATAATAAAACACAAAGCACTTTACATTTGCTGTGGGCATTTGTCTCTCAGGCCACACAGAGATGAGAGATGGGAGCAGGTTGTTATACACCTGCGGACTGCCCCGGCCGACCCGCCTGGGAGTGCTTCAGTCCTGCACCGGACCTGTCCACGTTCAGCGGCCACTGGTCCACGTCCTGTAGCTAGCTTAGGTCCTGGATCATTAGCCTGTCCGTCCGGAGGAGCGGATCCCTTTCTCAAATGGGTCTCCCTCCCTGTGGGTTTCCCTAGTTCTCCCCAAGGTTTCTCACTTTTTCCCACTGGGTTTTTTAAGAGTTTTTCCTTGTCGATGCAGGAGGGTCTTGTTGGACAGTTAGTGTCCAACAGAAAGGATTGGTGATGATCAGGACACTTTAGCATTCTACAACATGTATGGACATTTTCTTCTGTGTGTGCTTTATATTTTTCATGTGTTTTAACTGTTGATTCTCTGACCTGTGTTGGTGATTTCAATGGTTTTGTTAAGTCTTCTGAGATGACTTCTGTTGTGACCTAGGGCTATACAAGAATAAATTGTATTGTATTGTATTGTATTGTATTATACAGGAGGTACATGTCAGACCTATTGTACAGTTTTAGTGGTAGAGGAAACAGGAGCACCCGGAGGAAATGTACACAGACACAGGGAGAACATGCAAACTCCACTTAGAAAGGCCCTCTTCCGACTGGAATTCGAACACAGGACTTTCCTCCTGAGACTCAGAAAAGTTATTAGTTATTCAGACATTTTTTTTAAACCAGGCTTTCCTTCTTTTTAATAACAGAATTCAGGTTTTCAATAATGGAGCAGTTTAACTTTTCTCTTGTGCGGTCATATAAATTGAATTAAAATTAAATTGACCTCAACTTTAATTTAGCAGTTTCTCTGGTAGTGTTATTTAGAATAATACTGAATAATTTTGTTCAGTATTGTGACATTTTTGCATGTCAGTATTGCAATAATTAATTAAATAATTATCTGTTTCACTTTTGTGTTTACTCTGGTAATTTACATTTGCGTATTTCATCAAAGGATGACTTTTTTGCACTACCCTCCTTTTTTCTCAATGTTTGCAATGCCTTTGAGTAAATATGAGTAAGTAAGTAAGTAAGAAATATTTATTTATACAGCACATTTTTACAGAGCAAGGTCACCCAAAGCGCTTAAATTAAATTTAGACCTATTGCACAGGTTTTTAGGGTCATGAATCGCAATATATCTGAGAATCAAAGTGTGATACTTGCTGTATTGCAATATGTTAAGAATCGCGATAACATTGAATTGCGGCCCAAATATCACCATACCATCGAATCCTCACATTTTTGCCAAATATAGCACAGTTGCAGATTCATCAACCCCCCAAACCTCTCCTGATCCTAACATTTCCAGTGTGCGGTGACCGTACTTACCTTGGCATCTCTTTTCATCTTCTATATATGACCTGTCTTTGCACTGCACCTCTAAGGCAAAGGCAAAGCACTCAATGAAATGCTATACCTGCAGCCAAGGATAAGTGTGGGATTTAACGATCTTTCAAAACTTTCTGTATTTTCCTCCGACTTTTACATCAAAAATCAATCTCTTTTGAAGCAGGAAAATGCTACAGCCTATGTTCTCGGGTTGTTATTGATAGGAACAGAGCAGCTCCCCGGGTTGGGAACGGTAAAACTCATTTCCTCCCAAGTAAAAATGGAAAAGTGACGAGTGCAGACAGTTTGTAGAAAGCTGTTGAAACGCTGGCCGCTTCCTGGCATCTTCAATACGAGTGCATTCGTTATTCAGAGGGCATAGGCAGGGCGGCTTCACTCACAAAGTTATGTCGAGAGAGAAGAGTAGTGGCAAACATCTTTCGCACTTATGGAGGAAAAGTTGTTGCGTTGTGTAAGCCCTGAGTAGAGTGGCAGAAACAGTGCAGTCTATACTCACAGAAACCAACACAGACACCATAGTACAACAGTGTTTCTCATTAAAACACACACTGGGAGTTATTTTTGCTTTATTCACGGCAATATCAGGAAGTTCGGACACAAAAATACAGCAGCGCAGTAGGATGTTCGCCTACTGCTGCACTGGGCGGCACGGTGGCTGAGTAAGTAAGTAAGAAATGTTTATTTAAATAGCGCATTTTAAAGACCAAGGTCAACTAAAACGCTTTACAATGTTTCAGGGATCAGATATTGTTCCAATCATTCCACACACGGTGATGACGGAAGCGAGTCGCCGAACACACTGGACCATCAGCCCCCAATGAACACCATCCATTCACTCTCTCATTTACATTCATACCCATTGTCGGTTTCCCTGTCGGTCTCCGGGTCGGTCTCCCGGTGTATCTCCCTGTGGTTCTCCCGATGGTTCTCCAGGTGGTTTCCCGGTCGGTCTCCCGGTTGTTTTCCCACTTGCTCTCCCGGTGTTCCTCCTGGGGGTTTTCCGGTCATTCTCCGGGGCCGTCTCCTGCGTGGTCTCCTAGTCTGTTTTCCGGTTTGTTTTCCGCTCTGTCTCCCGGGCAGTCTCCAGGTCGCTCTCTGAATCGTTCTCCCGGTGTCCGTGGTGCTTCTTGCTCACCCACACCTCTCTCTCTCTCTCTACCTGTGTAGAAAGCCTTGTCTCCGCCGCAGGCCCTTCTCTCCTCAGTCTGTTCTCTACTTTGCCTGCTCTGCTGTTTACTTTCATCTTCTCTTTCCTTCCCTGATTTCAATTTTTTTTCGGAAACCCTCAAAGTCCTCACTGCACATGCTGCAATAATTCAATCCAATTTAAGTTTAAGGCAATTCATTCTTGTGTAGCCCTAAAATCACAACGGTAGTTTTCTCGGAGGACTGTACACAACAGTTGACTTCGCCAAAACAGATCAAAGAGTCAAACAGTTTAACCCAAAGAAATATAACAGAAAACACAGTGGCGTCCCAAGGGTACCCCGGGGCCCCAGGCATCAGAGTCCTTGGGGGCCTCGATTCCGACCACCTAACCAGATTTTGTAATTCTTCAAAATCTAATCTTTAATTTGGCCCTTGGTGTTTATATAGTCCATTAGCTTTAATCTGCAAAAATCGGCTTATTTATACCATTTACCGTTCTTGAGCAATCGCATAGAATATCATATATATATATATATATATATATATATATATATATAAATTAATGTAATCCATATTTGAGTCTCACTCCAATTCGAACTCGGTTCATCACGGTACTTAACCACTCGACCACTATGTCTTTCTACAATCAATTGACTTCAGACAGGGTTTTTATCTGTTAATGAAGAACAAGTTGGCAAGTTTTGTCACTGCGGGTAACTGTTGTAGCCTCTACAAGTCGACCGCTTGTGTCAAATCAGTCGGCCCTCGGGGGTCCCCGGCATGATTTCTCTCATGCACTGAACAGCATCGTGGCCACTTTGTCAATCTGAATAAAAACCATATTGTTGTCCCCCCTGTGCTGTTTTTCCAGGGCTTGTGATTCTGCGAGAGGCTCACACACCTGTTCCATATTCACTCGTCTTCCTGGCTTTGAGACTCTGGTTCAGACCTCACTTCTCTGCCAGATTTTTCCGTGTCACAAGTCTGTTTATAGCAACTCAGTTTGGGTCTGTGTGTCGTCAGAATGTGTGTGTGTGTTGTCTGATCTTGTACCATTGGTGGTAGTGTTGTGTTACTGTTTGTTCTGTACTGTTAGAGAAATCTACTGCATGCTATTGTTAAAACAGTGCATGTGTTATAGGCTTGGAATCAAATAATCCAACCTTTTTCAAATCAGGTACAAGTTATTTGTTTGTCATATTGCATGTCAGAATATATATTGTGCGGGATCAAAGTAAATAAAAAACAAAAAAAAACAGTTTATATTTTTGTTTGCTGTTTTTGTGTCTTGTGGTCAGGTCCACATCTTTTCAACCAGCCAGCTCCCTGTCCTCATTCTCTGCTCTCACTTTTTGTATTTTGCTTTCAACTCTCTGGGTCCAGCACACATCTTAAAAAACCAGCACAGGATTTTGATTTTGATTTCAGTGGATTAAGAGCCGTGGTTTTCAAACTTCCGGCTCAAGGTCCATGCAGCATCCAGGTCAATACACACAAATCTAAATAAAAATATGTTATAATTATTGATATCATTATGTGTTTTCTATTTTAAGTTGATGAGAAAGTGGTGTGAGAAAGTGGTGTTTAACCTTGCTCAGTAGAACAACAGGGGGGAAATCTTGATCAAGTTTGACGGTGTAACAGTGACACACGGTGGTAGAAGTGAGTATTGTTAGTGCTTTTACAAATGACACTGATCATTTACAGAGAATTACACTTCACTTCATTCCAGGGATGGCTGTTATCAATATGCTTGGTGGGATGAGACCTCCCAGTAATTAAGTAGAAAACAATAGGCTAATTTAGTACATTTTATATGTTGTAGATTATTTTACATGTATTCATTGAATTAATTTGACTTCAAAATGACTCCCCACTGTGAATTTATATGACCACAGCTTCTTCTAACTTGTCCTAAAGCAGGCATGTCCAAATTCAGGCCCGGGAGCCAAATTCGGCCCTCAGTGTCATGTTATGTGGCCCTCTGCCTTGCGAACTCAAAGTTGTCGATGAGATCATAAACACAAGTTCACTGTGTCATCCAGCCAACTTCAGCTCAGCCAATATAGACATTGTTCTAAAGCCCAGTCCCGTATTCAGTTGTTTATTTGTACATACTGTGCTGACATGGTTTTTGATTGTGTCACAAACTTCCGTTAAAGATTCTAATGTAGCTGGTGAGATGGCAAGCATGTGTCATTCAGCCAACTTCAGCTCTGTTATAGATCATTTTTGAATCTCATTCAAGACAGATTTTCAGTCTGAGATTTTGGCCCCTGAACTACTATGTGGAACTGAAGTGGCCCTCTTACTAAAAAGTTTGGACACCCCTGTCCTAAAGTTTTTTTTCAGTCTGGTCAAACATCAAATGTCAGTTGCTGCATCAGTGGTTTGCAAATTGGACTCAAAGTCATTTCCCCCTTCTCCTCTGTGCCCTTGAATTGAATCACATGGAATGGAAGTTCACAATGTCATTCTAAAATCTACAGTACTGTATATTTCATGCACAGGCTCGCATGTCCACGAGCACACGGACGCACACACACACACACACACACACACACACACACACACACACACACACACACACACACACACACACACACACACACACACACACACACACACACACACACACACACACACACACATGTGTCCCCTTCCCTCCCCAGGTGTGGACCTAGGCTGTTCCTCGATGGGTTCCATGAAGGGATGTACCAATGCAGTTCATGTTTCCCAGTTCCAGCCAAAAACCCAGAAGTCAATATGAACTTTCCGGTAAGAACACTTTGTGTACAGCACATGAGCCACAAACTGCTTTACTGATCCACATCCGTCCCATGGGTTTCTAAGTGACTGGAAATGAGAAATGTCATCAGAGAAGTCTACACTTAACGTTGGATCTGCTGAATGAACAAGTCCTGACAATGTTACATAGATTGATTTTATTCATTCGAGCAGAAATTATACATTCAAGTATTTACCGTATTTACTTTCATAGTTTATGGAGATACTTTTGTACATTGTTATGTCGTATATACAGTATATACTTACACATGCAAATACTGTATGTATACATAAATATACAATCAAGCAGTTTCACCATGTGTTAGTATCTTTACAATTTCTCATTTAAAAACATTAATGGATTTAGTTGCAAAAAAAGTGAGTTTGTGTGGTTTGGAGCTCTAAGATTCACAAGTGGAATGTTGATGTTTACTTGTTTCTACTGTTTGTTTATTTTTTGTCTTTTTATTATTTGACCAAAACACTTTTCTTTCAGCAAATATAAATATTTACTGTTCAGTGATGGCTTTCGATCCACTTTATCCGTTGCTGGATCCCGGATGCTGCAGTGCGACTCCCCTCAGTGTCCAGCCGTGATGCAGGTGGTTAAAATATTGTGTGTCCAGATATTCAATTGTCTTCAGCGTTCACCCATTAAATCCACGATTGGTTTATTCAGGCTTCACATCCTCTGCATTTGACCCAGATGTTTCAGGTCTTGGTCAGGAGTACCAGAGACAGAGGTTCTTGCGTATTGTACATGTTTATAGTGGTTATAGGAGAAAACCTACACAGACACAAGGAGAACATGCAAACTCCACTCTGAAAGACCCTGTGACCCTGGGACCCTGGGACCTTGAACTACAGGGCTAACCACTGTGCCACTGTGCTGCCTGTGCAATTTATTTTTGAATGATCCTACATAATGATTGTATTTATTCATGGCTGTTTATTATTGTTTTGTGAGTGAGTTGTATTATTATTACGATCATTATTATATTATTATTTTGATTTCCCATAAAGTTCAGGGTCCAGTCACGCACAGAGAGGGCACCAGCTGGACTGAAGGATGTCTTTGTAGACCTAGATCGCCTACAGTGAGTGTGAGCGTGAACAGCGAGAGCAAACACTGAGGTCTTCTACGGCGACATGTTTAACACACTATCCCTAACCCCCTAAGGCGGGTGAGTCAAACCGGTTCCAGAAAAGGCTGGTGTGGCTGCAGGTTTTCATTCTAATCAAGCAGGAGCAAACCAGACCCATTTCCTCAAGTCTCCAGGTAGAATCCAGGTGGAATAAAAACCTGCAGCACCTCTGCCTAAAAGGAAGAGATGCATGGGGCCTTCTCCAATTGTTTTTTTTAATACTCTTAAAAACAAATACAGCCCACTGTGTCATTGTATGTGGCCCTCCGCCTTGCTAACCCGAAGCAGTCTTTGAGATCATAAACACAATTACTGCACTCAAGGGCAGAAACCTGATTTAATTATATGATATGATATATTTTTGTTGTGCAATTTGAGGCAGAAGCTGTTGGCCATTAGGGATCTGCAGAGATTAACCTGTGCGTCCACCAGAGGGCAGCAGCTGGAGCGAGGGCCGTGACCATGGGAGCAGGAGTGATGTTAGAATGTAAAGTAAAACATTAAAATGACAAGCGTTTCAGATTGACTTTTCTCCTTTAATAAATCCTTAAATCCTAAAAGACAACCTGATATCAGCATAAAAGGTGGAGGCTTAGTCCCGGTAATCTACAGCAGTTAGTCAAACATCTCCTGAGAAAGGATAATCTGCTTTTCCGCTGTCTCCAAAAACTCTCTTCTAATTCTATTACATCTGTCGAGTTTGGCGTTCAGGGCCCTCAGAGCCTCAGAGCTGCTGAGGGGAGTGCAAACATTCAAACCAAGCAAACCTCTAGCGCATGCTGGTCATACCGTTGTTTAGCCCTCACTGATTAACAGCTAATCAAAGGTGCAGTAAGCGATTTCGATAGCTTAGCCGTAGCATCAATTTGAAACCACTCCCCCCTCCCCTCGCCTCTCCACCAAACCAAACATCCAGCATTTTCTTTTCTTCGTCACAACAGGGAGAGTGGGCGGCAAACTTGAAATTGACAATTTCTGTTCAGCAAACGCGATAACTCAGGTGCGCTCACTCGCGAGAAACAGGAAGAGGGTGAAGGGGGTAAACGCATCCCATTGGTTTATTTTTATCGGTCCTCTCCAAAATATTTTGTATTAATTTCTGGAGACTATAGGAATCTGGTTAATTCCATTACTATTTGAAAACACATAACAGCTTGACTACTTTTAGGGTTTAGGGACGTTTTCCCACAATATTGAAAAAAATGCGTCTGGAAAAAAAATCACTGACTGTATCTTTAAGTGCTAGTTATTCACGGTTAGTCATCTCTTATATGTTATTTATTAAGACCACCTTAGTCCTTATTCTACATGTACTGGTTCATCCTCTAACTAAGTACTAACTGACACTTTCCCATGTGGGTCAGGGTTAGGGATAGGACTAATGTCAGGGTTTTAGGGTACACAATCCATCCATCCATGCAATTTCTTCCCCTTTCCCCAATTCCTTCCCCGGTCAATTTCATACTGACAATTGTTGTTTTACGTTTGTACTTGACTTGTGCACACTGAGGACTTTTGCTGATGTATTCCAATGTGGTTTTACTGCAAATGGCAAATAAAATTAATCTGAATCTTAATCCATTCCTTAATCGGGGGTACCCAAGTCACACAGCACCAGCCACATCGATCCTCCTGCAGGTGGTGAGTCAGGATGATGTCTTGCCCAAGGACACAAAGACAGCAGACATCAGCGGGAGTCGGTGGAGAAGGTCTCATTGTGGAATTGAACCCATGACCTTCAGGCACAAAGGCCAATGCTCTACCAACTGAGCCACTTTCATCCAGATTGTTTTTGCTAATATTTCATCAAATGTAGCTTCATCTCCATCTTAGATATACATGAAAATTGCATGGTTGAAATCTTGAGCTTAACTGTCACATGAAATAACTTGCAGCGGTCCCAAACCTCGGGGTCCTGTCCCAGAGGAGGAGCAGGTCTCTGGAGGGTCACACCGTCCTCGCCGCAGATTCTCTCAATTCGCAGACTGCAGGAGCGACCGAAGTAACTCAGAGAGACTGCGTTACCGGGAAGAATGACGTTTCCATCTGGGGAAAACAAAAAACCCATCCAAATATCTACACTTGCATCCAGGCAACTCATCACTCACTGTTTTGGTTCATTTGTGATGGTTATCTGGATCTTTGAAATCCCATTAATGCTGGTACATTGTGGGGATGCTCAAACTGTTCATACCATACTAAGATCTAAGAAAATATTGCATCACAGTAGCATCTTTAAACTATGACAATCTTAAATGAGGACAATCACAGAGGACACTGAATCTTGGGATCAAATATATAAATGTTTAAGAAAAGACAGACTTACCGAATGTTCTCAGGAAAAAGTTCTTGAAATCATCTGTGTCCAGTTTGTCATCCTTTGACCTGGAACAGACAGGAGAAAGGCAGTGTGTGCAGTAACATGTTGTTGTCAGCAGATGGCAGTCTTTAGCAATAAAAATGCAAAGGGATGATGGAAGTTTTTGTATTTGCGGGGAGATATATTTTACATTGGAGATCAGGTGCTCTTCAATATCACTGTTTTGTCACAGTCTTTCGGCTCGAAGGCTGTTAGTCGTGTTGGATAAATGCATGTGTGTCATGTTTCTGTCATGTGTTGTGGGGAAGGGTGCTGTAGGGGAATGATTTGTGTTTTGTATCGTATGGCATAATGTCTGTCCTTTAGAGGGGGGTGAGGGGTGTTATTGTTTTTTTTCCCGTGAGTGTGCATGTTTCAATTAAATACTCAAATTCAATTAAATAATCGCAAACACATAGAGCCATTGGTCCACAGGGAGCAGGACAACCAATTTCCATAAAAGCTCATAAATGTGAAGAAATGTCTTTTCTCTCATTGTGTGAGACATGCACTGCAAAAAGTGATGAAATAAAAGTTCAAATTGGCTCAAATTTGCCAAAATGTATCTTAATATGACCACAATCTGACTGCCTTAAAACATGATTTGCCAATGAGCGTGTTTTTAATAAAAAGATACAAGAAATGTCTCTCTTGGAATGAAAAAATAAAAACAACCGCTTTGTTACATTGCCAAATCATGTTTAAAGACAAAATGTGTCAGAATGTTCTCAGATGAAGATAAAAACCAGTCATTTCAGGCGATTATTAGCTCATGCTGTATCATGTTTTACAGAGAGGTGTTACCTGCTGGAGACGAGCACCTCTGTGGCCTGCAGCAGGGGTCCGCTCACAGGCTCCACCAGAACCTGCTCTCCAGCATTCAGCTTCAGGTTGGTCCCAGCGCTCTGCACACCACACACTTCTATCAGTCCATGCAATTCTGGTCACCAAATAATTGAAGTGATTATTGCATCCCAAAAACAAAACAAAATAATTCTCATGCAATCTTTGTCTGGAGTCTTTCCGGATTGAATGTGTTGTGAAGGCCAGACCATAAAGCAAAGGTTATAACCCACATACATTTTGTTCTGTAAATTGAAATCTGATGTGAACAATCTGTGTTTTTTTTTTTTTATATAAAAACAATCTACTAAATCTTTATATAATAGAAAACCTGCCCTTATTTTTTTAACCATGGCAGTTAAGTGATATGAGATTTAGATATTATCTGCCGTGTTGTCTAAGTATAGTTTGTATATTTGTATGCATTAATATTTTGTGAAAAAAATGGAACACAATCTAATCAATATTTCATTTAGCTCCCTGATGCCATATTAGTTTATGTGTACATAGTTTGTGTGCTGCATCACATAAATCAAGATTACTAATCCCCTTCAGTGTTTTCACAATATAGGTTCATTTTATCACCACTAGATGGAGCCACGTACTCACTGTAGAAACGTGACTTGTGCAGCGTCCACCCCTTCAATTTCCACAAGTCTCCCATGTATTTAGAATAACGCAATCACGTGTCTAATTAGGCAAAAATCATGAGATGTTTTTCTTCTTTTTCGTTTTTTACAGTAGTCTCCCATGTTTAACACTGTAGCCCATACAGCAGCCTGTTTAAGACGCATCTGCAGACTGGTGCTATAGTTCAAACAGTATTGGCCAAACAAGTATAACAGCAAGTTTCAGCTTTATTTATTTTGAATACAGGACAGATTCAGAATCATGACCCCCCCTCCTCCTCCTCCTCTCCTCCTCCTCCTCTGCTCCTCTCCTCCTCTCCTCCTCTCCTCCTCTCCTCCCAGAGTTTTGCTTCTGTGTCCTGTCCCTTTGCCCCCACATCACAACAAAGTAACGGGAGCAGCTCTGACCTGTCTGCGTGATTTTGACAAGTGCGCCTGTCTTTGTGTGCGTGTGCATGTATGTGCATGTGTGCGTGTGTGATTGTAGCGACTGCGTGCACGAGCAGCATGGAGAGCGGAGGAGGGGGGGGGGGGGGGGGGGGGGGGGCGTTTTGCTCACAGCCGCCCAATGGGATGAGCGCTGGGAGGGAGAGCCGCTAACTCCAGCTTTGTCCTAAACTTACTGAGACTCCCCGAGTACAACATGACTGAAGCCTGTGCGCCGTTATATGCCCGGGACTGTGCGTGAACCCGCGTGAAGAAGCCGCGTGCACGGACTCAACTTTTTGGCGTGTGACATCACCGAGGATCCACGGTCCAGAATTTGCTTGAGTTTGGGCATTTCTGTATCTCTCTCTCTCTTTGGATGTTAGACGCGCACTCGGACTAAGGCTGATATATCATCCTGGGAGTATATCTCAAACTTGTGGAGAACTTTTGAACACTTTGGACAACTTTTTCATTGACTTTCCCCCGTGCGCTCTGTGGAATACAATGCTGAAATAACGGCGCGTAACAGTGGATACATGGACTGGGTCTGACCATGGCGCACGCAGGTTTACGGGGCTCCTTGCGGCTTCATTTGTTTCTCCTCCTGTTGTGGACTCTGTCGCGGTACTCAGCATCCAGCCAGGTCCGCCAAGAGTTCCAGGTTCTAGAGGAGCAGCCCGTGGGCACCTATGTAGGCACGATAGAGACGCGACCCAGCTTCACTTACCGCTTCAGTGAGAGCCATAAACTTTTCTCCATCAACGGCACCACTGGAGTTATTTACACATCCTCCGTGATTGACAGGGAGACTTTGCAGAGTGATGTCATCAACGTTGTGGTGCTGTCCAGCCAGCCCACCTACCCCACAGAGGTCAGAATCACAGTTTTGGATATCAATGACAACTTGCCTGTATTCCCGGACGCCTCCATCGTTGTGTCTTTCAAAGAGGACGCCAGCAGTGGGAGACAGGTCATCCTGGACACTGCCACTGACTCAGACATTGGGAGCAACGGCGTGGACCACACTACATACAGAATAGTGAAAGGCAATGAGCAGAGGAGGTTCAGGCTGGATATCACAGTCAATCCCAGTGGAGAGGGGGCCTTCTTGCACCTCGTTTCCACAGGAGGTTTGGACAGAGAGGTGACTCCGTTCTATCAGCTTCTCATTGAGGTGGAGGACAAGGGGGAGCCGAAAAAGTTTGGCTATCTGCAAGTGAATGTGACCATACAAGACATAAATGACAACCCACCTGCGTTTGAACAGGAGCATTATCAGACCAGTGTGTTTGAGGATGCGGCTGTCGGGTCAAGTGTTCTGCAGATCACAGCCACAGATCAAGATGAAGGCATGAATTCTGAAATCAGGTACTATTTAGACGAGGGCACGCCTTTTCAAATAGACCCGAAAGAAGGTACGATTGTGATTAAAGAGGGATTGGATTTTGAAAGTAAACGTGAGTACTCCCTAACTATTCATGCAGTGGATAATGGTGTGCCCGCTCTGTCAGGCAGGACAGAAGCCACAATAAAACTCTTAGATGTAAATGATAATGACCCAGTGGTTAAGTTTCGCTACTTTCCCACAACTTCCAAATTTGCCTCTGTGGATGAAAATGCACAAATTGGCACAGTTGTCGCACTGCTGACGGTTTCAGATTCAGACTCCTCCTCTGCCAATGGGAACATATCTGTCTCAATTTTGGGGGGGAATGAGCAGCGACACTTTGAAGTGCACACGTCTCCGGTGCCTAATCTGAGTTTGATAAAAGTGGCCAGTGTGTTAGACAGGGAGAGAATTTCCTCTTATAACTTAACTGTATCAGTGTCTGACAATGGGAAGCCTATGGCCAGGTCTTCTTTTGCCAGTCTGGTCATTTTTGTGAATGATATTAATGACCATCCCCCAATATTCCAGGAGATGGAGTACAGAGTAGATATCAGTGAAGACATTCCAAAAGGCAGCTACATTAAAGGGGTCTCAGCAACAGATGGGGACTCTGGGCAGAATGCCAACCTGCGTTACTCCCTGGTGTCTGGAAATGCTTTAGGCTGGTTCTCCATCAGTGAAAACAGTGGTTTGGTAACTAGTGCAGCCCTGTTAGACCGGGAAATTGCATCTAAAGTCGTGCTCAACATTAGTGCCAAAGACCAGGGACTGCAGCCTAAGATTTCTTACACTAAGCTGATAGTAAACATCACTGATGTAAATGACCAAGTGCCCACATTCACACAGAGCACGTATCATGTGTCTGTAGTGGAGCATGCTCCTGCTGGGACAGAGCTGCTTGTACTTTCAGCCTCAGATGACGACCTCGGGGCCAACGGCACGATCCGGTTCTCATTTAATGCTGAGACACCGGCCAAAGTCCAGGAGTTGTTTCGCCTGGATGCGGTGTTGGGGAGATTAAGCACAGCCGCTGAGTTAGACAGGGAGGATCAGGCCTCCTACTTACTCCACATCCAGGCAGCAGACGAGGGCAGCCCCCCTCTGCACTCTGTTGGAAAAGTCAACATCACCCTGAGGGATATCAATGACAATAGGCCAGTCTTTTACCCGGTGCAATATTTTGCAAATGTGAAGGAGAATGAACCTTCTGGTTCTTATGTAACCACAGTTTCAGCCACAGACCCAGACTTAGGCCGGAATGGCACAGTTAAATATATCATTACTGCTGGAGACACATCCAAATTCCGCATTAATAGCAACAGTGGGAAAATTAGCACACTTGTGCCGCTGGACAGGGAAGAGAAAACCGCTTACCAGCTGCAGGTCTCAGCAACAGATGGCAACGGGCTGCGCTCACAAACACAGGCCATAGTTACTCTCACTGTCATAGACACACAGGATAATCCTCCAATATTTAACCAGAAAGTGTACAGTTTTGTTATGTTTGAGAATGTGGGTGTTGGGACAGTCATAGGGACCGTGTCAGCCACAACAGTAGATTTAAACACAAACATCTCATATCTTATAACTTCTGGAGACCAACGAGGACTTTTCACTGTCAACAGCGCAGGTCAGATTGTAGCATCGAGTCACATAGACAGAGAGGAGCAGGCCTTTTATCAGCTCAAAATAGTGGCCCGGGGCGGTGACATCACAGGGGAAGCGTTTGTTAACATCACTGTCAAAGACTTGAATGATAATGCTCCTCACTTTATTCACGCTGTGGAACACGTAAGCGCTGTCGAAAACTGGAACACCGGTCATGTCATATTCCAGGCCAGAGCTACAGACCCAGACGAAGGCCCGAACGGCATGGTGGTCTACAGCCTCAAACAAAACCCAAGAGGCCTGTTCCATATTCATGAGAAGCACGGACTTATCACTCTGACAGGGCCGCTTGAGGTCACCACCAGTTCCTACGAGGTGGAGGTGATTGCTTCTGATATGGGGCTTCCGCAGCTCACCTCCAGCCTGGTCACAATAGTCAGCGTGTATGATGTCAATGATAACTCCCCAGTTTTTGACCAGCTCTCTTATGAAGTTATTATACTAGAATCAGAACCAGTTAATAGCAGGTTTTTTAAAGTACAAGCAACGGATAAGGACTCTGGGCTAAATGGGGAAATAATGTACGATATAGCTGGTGGGAACACAAGAGAGGTTTTTGGTATTTTTCCAGATGGACAGTTGTACATCAAAGCAGAGCTGGACAGAGAGACTCAGGACAGATATAATTTAGTGGTGGTGGCCTCAGACCGGGCTGTGGAACCGCTTAGCGCCACTGTCAATGTTAGCATCATATTGGATGACGTCAACGACAACCGCCCCCTATTCAACAGCACTAATTATGTGTTTCATTTTGAAGAAGAGCAGAAGCGAGGGTCCTTAGTCGGCCAGGTTTTCGCTGAGGATAAGGACTTTGGGCCAAACAGCGAGATTAGATACACATTTGAAACGCCACAGCCAAACTTTGAACTGAACGCTATCACGGGAGAATTGACCAGCACTTTGCAGTTGGACCGTGAGTCGCTTATGAGACAAAGAGGCGCCTCGGTCTTCAGCTTTGTGGTCGTCTCGTCAGACCAGGGCCTCCCCAAGCCCCTTCGAGACCAGGCCAAAGTGCAAGTTTACATACAAGACATCAACGATAACCCGCCTAAGTTCACCAAAGACATTTACCAGGCCTCTATTTCAGAGTCAGCTCAAAACACGACACAATTACTGCGGGTGTCTGCGTCTGATATGGATGAGAACAAAAATGGACTTGTTCATTATAGTGTTTCAGAAGGGAACGAGGAAGGACAGTTTGGTATAGACAGCAGCACGGGGCAGGTCACTCTAATTGGAAAGTTGGACTATGAGACGTCTTCATCTTATTCCCTGAAAATTATTGCTGTTGATGCTGGAGCGGTCCCACTGTCTTCATCGTGTTTGCTTAGTATTAGCATTCTGGATGAAAATGACAATTCACCCGCCTTCCCCAAATCCTCTCTGTCTGTGGACGTCTTGGAAAACATGAGAATAGGAGAGCTTGTGGCTTCTGTGACTGCTACCGATTCTGACTCGGGGCCAAACGCTGATATAACGTACAGCATCACAGCTACAAATAACCACGGCACGTTTAGCATTAGCCCCAACACTGGAAGCATATTTCTAGTTAAAAAGCTGGACTTTGAAACGCAATCTTTATACAAGCTCAATATAACAGCCAAGGACAATGGCAAACCGCCGCGCTCCTCCTCCATCCCTGTTGTTATCCATGTTCGAGATTTTAATGACAATCCACCTGTGTTCACGCCAGGCGACATTTTCAAGTCTATCCCAGAAAATCTCCCAGTTGCATCGTCAGTTATAACAATAATAGCACATGACACAGATGCAGACATTAACGGTGAGTTGGAATACTCTATTGTCCACCAGGTTCCAAGAGGAAACCACTTTAACATCGACTCCGGCACTGGACTCATTTTCACTAATCGTGAGATCGATAGGGAGTTTTCAAACCTTTTCGAGCTGACTATAAAAGCCTCGGATCAAGCCTTCCCCGTTGAATTCCGGAGATATGCACTTAAAAATGTCACAATATGGGTGACTGATCAGAACGACAATATCCCCACTTTTGTGTCCCAGAATGCACTTGTCGCTGAGCCGAATATAGTAATTGGATCAATCCTTACAACAGTGATGGCCTTTGACCCAGACGATGGAGAGAATGGTGAAGTGGAATTTGAATTGGTTGAAGGAGATTCGGACACTTTTATAATGGACAGGTACAGTGGAGACATCAGACTAGCTTCCCAATTACTACCATCCAGGCTAATGTACACGCTAACTGTGGCGGCGACAGATCACGGCGCAGACCGCAAAACATCCAGAACAGAACTCAACATTATTCTGCAAGGTCTTGATGGACCTGTGTTCTCCCAGCCAAAATACATCACTATTCTGAAAGAAGGCCAGCCTCCGGGGACAAATGTCATCTCCCTGGACGCTTCGAGCCCAAGAGGATCCTCGACCAAAGTGGAGTATTTCATCGTGGCTGTACGGAGCGGAGGGAAAGCGGTTGGGAGACTTTTCACCATCGGCAGGCTCACTGGAGTGATACAAACGGCTGCCGAGCTCGACCGAGAGAAAGGTTCGGATCTCTACCAGGTGGACGTCTACGCCATCGAGTCGGACGCCAACCAGCCCAGGACACAACGCGCTGAGGTGAGTAACAAGCTGATTTTGTCTCCTTCGCTTTTGCTTTTTGTTCTGTGGCTGGAGGTTTGGCAACGGGAGGGCATGAACTCACTCGTTGGCACATGAACGGTGTATACAAAATGAGATCAAGATTTTGAACAGAGGTGAATTGGGAGAGACAGCGCCCAAGTCACACTCAGAGAAATTGTCCGCTTGTTAATTAAATAGCTTTTTCATACTTGGTTCTGTGTTGTATTAAATTAATCATATTCTTGGATTGCATTACTGAGGCCCTGTTTCCTTGCACGATAACTGTGCACTGCTTTCCATAACCATGAGCATTAACAATCATCTACCTCCCTTTTTGTTTTAAAGTTGGAAACGGAACCAAGTGTCTGTGACAGGCTCTTATCCTCCTCCGTGACTTTAATGACATAAGTGTTAGATCGAAAACGCTCAAATCAGGAAAAAAAGGCCCATTTATGGATAGTGTTGAGCAGAAATATCTCATTCCCTGATTCTGTTTCACATTTAAGCCTTCGTGTGCTCCCTCCATGTCTCATGTAGAGCAGCTAATTCAGTGCAGACGTGAACTATGAGTGCCAGTATTACATTTTAGCCCCTTTTAGCCTAGAGCTGTTTTAGCACTGAAGGTGGTCCTGAGTTACCACCATGAATTGCACCATAGGCAATAAGTGACCATCCAAATTGCGTGACCTCCTAAGACTTTGTAAAAGATGACATTTCTGTGAGGGTGACATTTAATCTAGCCATTTAATTTGCATATTGTCCTTTTGGTTTTCATCAAATTTCCTGCCAGAATTAGGTTAAGCCAGTGTAACATACTAACCATAAGTTCAATCTAGAATTACCTACTTTTTTGCGCTCAGCAAAATAAAAATTAGTTTTGCCCTCATAGAGAATATTGTATCACATTCTGGCTTACTAAAAATCAATACAGTACTAGTATTCAGAGTAACTGTTTAAACAGGGATTTACTTTGCCAAGTATAAATGTGGTTAGTAACCTAACAGTCTAGTCATTTCATTTTGCCAGAGTAAATGCAAATTATGTTAAAGTAAAGCATTTTTTCTGATTTTCTTATTTTCATATACTTTGCATATATTCTAATATAATTTCATATGAAAATCACTGGTGCTTTCTTGGCTGTAGAACTTATTTATATTTCAGTTCCAGCCCTAGTGAGAGGACACAAGGCTTCTTTGCTCCATTCCCAATCTTTAAACTGGTTCCAGTCTGAACTTTGTCACCCTTGGACGAGATGACTTTACCACACCACCTTTGCAGTCTGGTTTTTGCAGAGCCGAAGCATGTGATTTAAGAAGTTAAAATCAAATCTACCCCTGGCAGTGTCTTTGGTGTTGAAACCTTTGTGTAGATTGGCCGCACCACATATGGCGAGAGAGGCTATTTCTGCCGTCCGTAGGTGTGCCGTCAAAGTACGCTGTGGTACAATAGTGTAAACTTTCAGACTTGAACTAATGTTTTTCCAGTTCTCTGTTTATGCACCAGATACCCAGTAGCAACCAGGGGATTATTTCCATCCCTTGGGCTGTGACCTGTTCACATTCTCCATTTCCCCTCTCTACCCTTGATTGGACACATGACTTGTAGCTGGCATGTTTTTCTCCCACCCCTAAATCCTTTGCAGCGTGTTTTGGAAATTCTCAAATAAAAAGAATCTGGCTGGACAAGCATTATCGACAGCGGTGATCTAAAACAATTCGGAGTCAAACTGGGGGTACAGACGAGAAGGGATTTTTCATGACCTTCTAAGCATCCTTGAAAGCATCATTGTCAAGTACAGAAAATTCAAAGTGTCAGCTCATACGGCATGTGCAGTTTCACTCACTTAGGGGCCTCAGCACCTTCTACGCACCAGGAAATGTGTTGATGGTTTGTTGTAGCTGCTGGAAATACTTGGAATGCACTCGCAGTGACTTCACGATCCAGAAATCGTGTCTTTCCTGTAAATAGTTCATTGGGGGGCACATTTCTCTGTTGGCAGCGCTTTGCTCCATTGTTAGTCAACCCAGATTCCATTCCTGCAGTTTGACAGGATGTTTTTGGTTTCACCTCAATTGAGTTTTGATTCTTCATATCCCGTATGTCGCTAGGCTGGGAAGTGCTCAGAGGTGGATGGGAGAGTTTTGTTCCAGATTCCCAGATATTAAATGTTTGACATCTCGGGTTTTAGCTTTTCCAGTGAGTATTGTTGTTCATTCTTTACTCTCCATTGGGTGAAAGTTTTCTGCCTGATTATGAGCCTGCGCAGCAAGAGTGAATAAATGAGACTGAGAGATATATTGGCCGTGTAATCTTCAATTTCATAGCAATTATCTCACAAAGCGCTTCACAATGTAGAATAATACACACGCTAAACTAAAAGTAAAAGTTGAATAATACACAATTATAAAATACATATATACACAAAGATACACAATACATTCAGTTTTAAGTCCTTGAAGTTGTATTTGAATCATAGAATCACGGTTCTATGATTGAGGGGTAGATTTATTCTATAATATAGAAGCCACTGATCTTAAAGCTCTGTCCCCCTGTATCTTGATTAAAGCTGGGGCACCTAACTTTTTGTTGTTTTTCTCAAAAGAAAGAGCCTTGTAATAGTAAAATCAGACCAAAGTATGCTGCTTTCATCTAGTAAGAAACTGTATACAGACAGTTATATTTTGCATATTTGTATGAAGGAGCTCTGTGACTTTTTTGTCTCTTTAGTCACAGCAGTCCTCTCTTTTAGGCTTTTCTGTCTGAAAAGATGCCTTTGTAAGTAACAGAAAGTCACAAACTTGGAGTTTGCTCAAGATGTAAAAGTAGAATTACACTGTAGATGTATAGGCATGCACAGGAGATATATTTTTATATCTAACGCTTCCGTTATCCCCGTGTGTGGAATGATTGGAACAATATCTGAACTCTGAACATTGTAAAGCGCTTTGGGTGACCTTGGTCTGTAAAATGCGCTATATAAATAAACATTACTTACTTTCTTACTAAAAATTGCCACAAAATGCACATGTGTGAAAAGCGATCGAACCAAACAGTTTTAGAGCCAGAAACGAGTGACATGGATTCCAGTTCAATGTTTTTTATTTGAATGTTAGACACCTCAGTTATAAGGAAACATTCATCCAAGTTTTAACCCTTTGCATTGACAAATAATCTGAAATGTGAATGGAGAGGACTTCCACCATACTTATCCAAATGCCCCTTTGCATACGCATCCATCTCACACAGACATTCCAAACACAGTTGAACTTCAGTGTTATAGTATTTTATGTGGAGCTCATGACACAGCATTACAAATCATGTAGTCCTCACATCGGATCCCACCTTCTCCATATGGCCGGTCTGCTACTATTGTTTTCATAGAGTGATGGAGTGTTGTTTTCAGGGAGGCCCCTGAGTGCCACATCAGTCCTCTCTCCCTCCTCACTTCACCATTGTTCCCATTGGAAAGTAAACATGCTCCTGAGTGTCCCACTGGTCATCTCTTTTGCTCCCATTTACACTGCTGTGGTTCTGTTATCGTGGTGCCAGCGTCCAGCTCTGGGAGCGGCACGATTCTGCCATAGCTGCTTTTAATAGTCTGCACTTGTCCATGTCCCTGTACTGCTGTTGCTTCACAACTCTTTGTTTATTCACTCCAAACACAGTGGTGATAAACTACTACTGTAGCCACAGCTGCCCTGGGGCACACTGGCTTGCGAGGCAACCATTCTGTGCCGTCTGCCCCTCCGACCACCACCAACCATTCACACACACACCAGACTCATTCTAATGTGGGTGAAGTGTCTTAGGAGACACAACCACAGTTATGCACTTTACAGCTGCAGCCGCCCCACTGTGGCACCTGGTGTTCCCAGAGGTCTCCCATCACAGTAATAACCAGGCACTACCCTGCTTAGCTGGGAGATGGGAGCAGGTTGCTACAGGAGGTGCATTTGCCAAACCTATTGTACATGTTTTAGTGGTTGACACAGGCATGGAGAGAACATGCAAAACTCCACACTAAAGGGCCTGGAGGTGGAATCAAACCAGAACCTTGCTCTGAGGTACAAGCGCTATCCATCCATCCATCCATCCATCCATCCATCTATCTATCTATCTATCAAGCACAATCTAGGTACCCTTGCTTTAAGTAGAGAGGTATGTCTCATGCCATAAAGTGAAAATTCCACGTAGACAAGCAGCTGACGGAAAAGGTAGAGTTCATCTTTAAATGTATGAACCACCAAGAAGCATCAAATATCTGATAATGAATGTCTTTTATGTAGAAGATCAACAGTAGGCCTCTCATTGTACTGAGCAATACTTCATACATGTCAGTAAATACTGTTATTACCATCTATTGTGAATGCATTTTGCGACACCTGGTATCCATGACAATATTCAAATTTGAGATTTGAGTTCACATGCTAAAGGTTTTCAATAATGACCTCAATGATGAAAAGTATGTTGGAAAATATTAGCAATACTTATGGCGTCATTCCACATACTGGGTTTAGTGAGGGAGCATTATTTTGACGTTGCAGACTGCTGTAAAGCCCCGGGATCAGGGCAAACGCAGGTGGGAACAGTGCAAACAAGCTCCAGCCTTAGCTTTCGGACATCACAGTCGGGGAATGCAGATGTCGTGGGCAGATAGAAACGAATGTGGATCTCTGTTGCTGTGGATCCTTTAGGCTCGGCTTCGGTCCTGCTTTGCATCTGTGTCTTTGGGAAGCAGGTTTTCTTCTGTGCTGCGTCCGACTTCAAAGTTTCCTACATACTCTTTGCTTAATTCTGTCTCTTCTCGCTCCATGTTGTTGTCGAGGCTGATCCTCCTCCAGGACAGACTCTGGGGGACATGCCTTTAGGGCAACGGAGGCGGCAAGGAGGTGGTTGGAAGCTGCTTGAAATTGAACCGGCTCAGGTCAAAAAGTTCACTTGTAGAGTCCTGATAGAGAACTATTAAAATACTTCATTGACCGATGGGGTTTAGGCTGAAGTATAAACTTATTTGGCCTAACCCCCCGTGATATTTGACTCTATCACAATATCACGTAATCCATAGATACTCATCAGATATACAGTAGATGTCACAT